TTTTGGTGAAAGTAATGTGTTTGCCATGGTGTACTCGTAGTAAAGTGTTGCTTTCCATGACAATACTTTCCATCAAATGGTTCGTCAAAGAAAACTCGAAACATTCCAGTTCAGTGGCATGTTCCCAAGTTTAACAAGATGGCCGTATTCCACTTTGCTGTCATCAACTGGTGGGCATTTTGGGAAAAAAATTGACAGCTTCCTGCCAATCCCAGGTGTGGTCTGCTGTGGGTACTGGGCAATGACAGGTGGTTGTGGAGGTTTTGGTTTTTGGAGGGTTTTGGTTTTGGGGGGGTGGGGGATGGTGGGCCCTTTTTTGTAATCAGCTGAGGCAGCGGGGTGGGTGGGAGCATGGCCCACTGCTGGTGCCTCACCGCCGGCAAACCACTACACCACGCACATTTTCCCTCCCAATAGCAACAGTAAAACATCATCATTTCCACTCTGTTCCTGTTGTTTCAAGCCCATGGGATGTACTCCGAGATGCACTCCTTCCCCCTTGGAATAGCAAAATGGCACACTACCAGAGCGCAATATCGTCGTATATACTGACGCTTCACTGGGGAATATTGCACTTCACTATCACTACTGGAACTAGTTTGAAGAGCTTGTAGTTCATATTCCCTATCACTATCATCACCCCATGCTCTCATCTGAGTCGGGATTTGGAAAATAGAAGTTTTCCCCCTTGGATTCTGTACAACTGAACGTGAACAAGACTGGGCCCAACACCAGAGGTGGGAAAGGGTGAGGGTTGTCTGGGTTTTCCTCACTATAAACCCATATTATGGTCATAGTTTCGGGCAAAACCTCGCCAAAACCTTGAAACCGTCTTCACTGGCAACTTCCACTGTATTAAACTCACTGGGGGAAAAAAAGTGTCCCAATTTTGCCGAGGAATGAGGACTTCTTTCCGCGAGGTATGGTGGATATTGTTTACTAAGAAAGGGGTTCCCACAATGCACCACTGGGTCCCCAGATTTTTTTTCTAACCGCGCACACCGACCACACAGACCCATTCTCTCGCATGTAAAGGGCCTACCAGCCTTTTCCCACGAGATTTGACGGCGCTATAATTTTGTGCGCACTGTACGTCAAAAACCCCTGCGCGTAAGATATACTAGTACGTCCGAAACCCTCAAAGGGTTAAAGGCTCCCTATTTACATTTACCCCCTGGCACCCAAAATTTACCTACTACTCCTCCATAACATTTTTACCCACTTAAACATTGAAAATCACCAACCACCAGCATTCACTCAACATTTCCCAAAATCCTTTTCTCTCCCTACACTTTTCTCTTCCCAGGGCATACACCTTAATATAACCCACTTTCACATCCAAACTTTATTTTACTCCACAATCCTTTAATTTTTACATTTATAGTCCCCTTTCCTGCCATAGCTTATCCTCAAAATTTTTGCTACTCCTTTTTAGCTCTAACCTTTTAAACCCTGACCTAATCCCATTTATTCCTCCCTTGAAAATCTCCCCCCCCCTTCAGCTTTTTTTTGCTTAAGCCAGGACATCCACTTCTTCCCCATTCATAATATCCACAATCATCTCTTTCTTATCATCTGCACAATATCCACGCACATCAACTTCCCACTTTTTACAAATTTTCTTTTTCTTATTCTTTTTTTTTTTTTAATGCTTTGGCTATTTCCCACTGAAGCAGGGTAACCCCAAAAAAAAGAAACTTTCCATCACCCTTTTAAAATACTTTCATCATCACTCTCACATAACACGTTTTTTGCAAGGCACTCAGTTACGCATTTTTAAATGTCCCCCCAAACTCTAAAATCCAAAACCCCCCTTTTTAAAAGTGCAAAATCGTACTTCCCCATTTCTGGGCCCCAAATTTCGGCTAACGGGTTTTCCCCCCAAAAATCCCTTCACAAAAAAATTACCCTGCTCACATTTCCAACAGCCTTCGTCGGGTTTCCCAAAAACTATTCATCCCCCATTCACTCCTGTCTAAACACACTTGTGCCCCACTTGCTGGAAGTCCAAGCCCCTTTCCCCCCCAAAACCTTTACCCCCTCCCTCCAACCTTTTTAAGGGGTACCCCCCCCTTGCCTTTTTTCTCCAATAGATTTTACACTCTCCAATTTATTCTACTTTGCTTCATTCTCTAAATGACCAAACCACCTCAACAACCCCTCTTCAGCCCTCTGACTAATACTTTTAGTAACTCCACACCTCCTAATTTCCACACTCCGAATTCTCTGCATAATATTTACACCACACATTGCCTTTTGAACATCTCCACTGCCTCCAGCCACCTCCTCATTGCAGTATTTGCAGTCCATGCTTCACACCCATATAAGAGTGTTGGTACCACTATACTCTGGATAATGTTCTTTGTCTCCACAGATACCTCATCGCACCCACTCGCCTTTTTTCCTTCTCAGTTCTGTGGTTTACCTCATCCTTCATAAACCCATCTGCTGACAAGTCAATTCCCAAATATCTGAAAACATTCACTTCTTCCATATTCCCTCCCTTCAATGTGGTATCCAGTTTTTCTTTATCTAAATCATTTGATACCCTTATCACTTTAATCTTATCTATATTCACTTTCAACTTTCTTCCTTTACACATCCTCCCAAACTCATCCACTAACCTTTGCAACTTTTCTTTAGAAATCATCAGCAAAAGCAACTGCATCATTCCCATTTTGTATTTATTTCCCATAATTTAATCCCACTCCTCTCCCGAACACCCTAGCATTTACTTCTTTTACAACCCCATCTATAAATATATTAAACAACCATGGTGACATTACACATCCCTGTCTAAGACCTACTTTTACCAGGAAGTAATCTCCCTCTCTCTTATGCATCCTAACCTGAGCCTCACTTTCCTCGTAAAAAATTCTTTACAGCATTTAGTAACTTACTACCTTTTCCATTCACTTGCAACATCTGCCACATTGCTTCCCTATCCACTCTGTCATATGCCTTTTCTAAATCCATAAATGCAATGAAAACTTCCGTACCTTTATCTAAATACTGTTCACATATATACTTCAATGTCAACACCTGATCTACACATCCCCTACCCACTCTAAAGCCTTCTTGCTCATCTGCAGTCCTGCTCTGTCTTACCTCTAATTCTTTCAATAATAACCCTACCATACACTTTACCTGGTATACTCAGTAAACTACTTCTCTCAACACACCGGCCATATCCCACTGAGGCAGGGTAGCCCAAAAGGAAAAACGAAAGTTTCTCCTTTTACATTTAGTAATATATACAGGAGAAGGGGTTACTAGCCCCTTGCTCCCGGCATTTTAGTCGCCTCTTACGACACGCATGGCTTACGGAGAAAGAATTCTGTTCCACTTCCCCATGGAGAACTCAGTAAACTTATTCCCCTATAATTTTTACAATCTCTCTTGTCCCCCTTCCCTTTATATAAAAGAATTATACACGTTTTCTGCTTATTGATCCTCTTATTTAGGTTCCTTTGTCTCTTCCACAAGATCTTGTTAAAACCTTTTACATGAAACATTTACTCCTTTGTTGTTGGTGCTATTAAAAACTACCTGTACAGGCACTGTTGCCTAGAACCTGTTATGTCTTAGCAATATAGTTCTGCAAAACACTGGAAGCTTTGGCATACCAAAATCTGGTCAAGTTATTTCAGGAAATGCTTTGGGTAACCTGATGTTTCTTTCTCACCAGATTTCACCCCTTGACCTTCCTTCAACTGTATACCCTTATTTTAGTACTAGAAATTGCTTAAAAAAGTTGAAAGATTTAAACATCCCCCAAAATTAAAACCTCCCCATGGACCATATGTCTTTAAAACATTTATCAGTGCTAGTACTTGTGTGATATACTTTGAAGTCATTTCTATTTTAAATCTCTTTTTTGACTGGTTTGTTATAGTGCCTAAACTTGATATCTGTTTTTTTTTCTGAAAATATGGGATTAATTCAGTCTTGAGAATTAAATGATTCTTCAGGGAAGTTTCAATGTAGATGGGCTTGATGTGTGCATAGTATTTTTAGGGACCGATTAGGGATATTTTTGTATTGCCGAAAAAATCTGGGTTTGGTTTGATTTTTTTTTTGGATGCCTGCTGGTTGTCAAAGCCCCGGGACAGGTTCCATGTGTGAGGTAAGTAAAGATCCATGTGTAATATACAGGGGGGTTAGTGGAACAGGTTTTCATACTTTGTCGTAGCAGATCTTAGATTACAGTAAAATATACCTAATGTTTCATATATTTTCTTATATGTACAGTATGTTGGATGAGGATATTAGCTAAATTCATTGTCTACCTGTATGCCTAGGATTTTGCATTACTTGCCTTATATTTGATAGTTTTTAATTCTGATCCTAAAGTTTTATTCCTAGTGTGTAGTGTAGCACAGTAGTTGTCTACATTCAATGACAGTTTGGTTGTGAACATCAAACTATGGATTTTTTTAGCTCGCATATTAGGTTGCTCAGTTCAGTAGGATCGGAATTTTAGAAGCAGCAGCGTGTATCATGAGCAAGAATATTGGTTTGAGGTATTGAGTGGCAATTTTATTCATACTTGCCTAAATCTTATTGCAGTTAAGCTCAGTCCTTGGTGACAGTGTGATGCTGATTAACATTTCTTATAGTTTACATTGGCTGTTGTGGCTGATGACACTGGTAGATGTGTAGTGGAATAACACTCATTTGTGAAGTTGGACATTTACTACAAAGAGAGAAATTATTTCCATGTCTTAAATTTTTTATGACAGGCAAGAAAAACTAAACCTTTTTACTGTTTTGTAAATACTGTGGTCTTCTCAACATGTAACTGAAAGACCAAGAAAATTTGACGTAACCCACCTTACATAAGGTGGAAAGTGGCATTGAAGGTAAGATAAACATTCTTAATTAAGTATATTAAAAATATGTAACCCAGCATATTCATTTCATAAGCTTTAACTTATAAATATTGAACTAAAATTACAATGCCATTTCTTCTGACTGTCTTGTCCATCTTCACAATCCAGTCAAGTCACCTGACATCTGTGGATTGGTCTCACTATGTAAGTTTACCAGACTTTTGCTGGGATGTCATCTTTTGGCTCAGTCACCCAATGCTATTTTCTGTGTGCTTTATGCTCTCTGCCACTCGTTATCTCCAGCTAAACCTTTGATGAAGTTTGTACGCTTGGAAATTATTTCTAATTGCCATGTACATTTGCTTGCAAGTGTATGGTCAAATTTAGAGTTATGGGTAATTTACAGAATTTGTTTTTGTGTGTTGACAAACTATAGGAATAATTTCCAAGTTTGCACTCACACTATTAAATAATAAAAGGAGTTTGTTCATTGACAGTGTGAATTGTAAAATAAAATTACCTTGTAACTGTCATGTACTGTACCATATGTTTCTGCCATTATAAGATTCACTCTTTTGACAGCCCTTTTTTTTACCTGGAAAAAAAAAGTCACTAAAATGACCTCATCTTACATACTAAAGATCTATAGACAGACATCCACCAAAGGCATCAGTAGCCTGAAGTATACAAGGCCATCTGCCCTCTAAAGAGTCAGCAGCAGTATTATCAGAGCACTTATATCTACTAGTATCCATTATGCTACTTGTCACTATGCATGCACATATCTATTAACAAACCTTCACTGTCTTCTGAAAAAGAAAATTAAATGTAGAGTGATAAGAAAGAATTATGGCAGCCATTTGCAGACAGGGCTTGATGTAATCTCACTAGCACCATCTGTTGGAAGACAGCACACACAAATATCAGTGCTAAGTAGGACATCTTGTTAGCGAGAGTGAAGGCCATAACTCAGACATCTGACTGATGTCTCCATGCCTCTACTTTTAACACATTCACTGTCAAAGCTCCCTAAATTAAAAGTTCTGAATGTTAGCATCTTTTAAAAAAAAAAAAAAAAATTCTGAAATTTTATGGAAAACTTTTAAAATTACACAGGCACAAAGTTAGTGTTCTGGGTACCATTTATGCCTCAGCGATTTCACCCACTTTGAGTCCTATTTTATGGCAATTTCATTGCTCAGTTTGACCAAATCTGAGCTATTTCACTAGTATGACTTCTGTTTTATCAATTGAGCATAAGAAACTGCTCATTTAGCTATCAGAACTATCCTGTAAAGTGCATAGAAGTTAATTTGGCCAGTTTTACACAAAATTTAAAAAACTACAATTTTAAAAACAGTCCAAAATAAACACTAAACTTTAAATGCATTAAAGTAACATTTCCTCTATTCATTAATCATGCCTTCAGGCCTCTTCTATATTACACTTACACTCCATTTTGAATTCATCACATAAAAAATCAAAGATTTACTCTATTTCTCCAATAATAAAATATAATGAGGAATTATTGGTCATGGTTTATGATGTCCTAATAATTTAAGGGAGGGGAACAGTCCTCAGGAAAGTTGGCAAAAAAATATTTCTGCTGTTTAGAGTCTACTTTCAAGCTACTTCCAGTCCTGAAACCAACAAAAATCATCTCTATATTGTCTTCCATTCTATCAAATGATACCAAGAAATATCCAGTAAAACCATAAAAACCATCCTAGATAACACTTCAAAGTCACTGTTGTAAACCAAACACTAGGTTAGAAGTTTGCTTTTTCTATCATGCCCCCATGGGGGCAGGATTTTTTTTTTATACTGTGCGCACACTTCGGACATTCATTCTCTCATGTTGAGCCAAAATTTAGCACTCGCAGCTTATCTGAGGAAGCTGAGCTCGAAACATAGATCTAGGTAAGCAACTCTGCTGCCAGAAATGTAAATGTGTGAAAGACAGTGAAACGGTTAATTACGACATCTGATTAATCACTGTTGTTTTGACAAGCATGCTACAAGACAAACTTGAAGTAATAAATTACTGATAAATAAAGTAGCATGGATACAGTAGCTGAACAATAGTTTAATTATTTTCATTTAAAATTTGTTCCATTTATGGAGAATTATTTTATGTTCAATGTTGCAGTATACATTAATTTTTGTTTGTTTATATAGTATGTTTTTTACCATCAGTTTACCACTAGTGACCCATGAAAGGAAACCAGTTTACCATCTCTCGCTTAGTATTAGCTCATATATAATATGCTGATGTATTTTTTAACAGTTTTCTTAATTAAAATCAGGGAACATCTTGAACACCTGTGTCTTTTATGGCAAAAAATATGGTATGCATAATGTTTAGATGATAATACTTATTTTAGATTTTCATATTTTTGTTACAAAAATTAAAGTTTTAAGGATTAACACATTTATTCATTTGGTTGAGTCTTATTAACCTCAGGTCATATAGTACTTCCATTTCGTATTCTCAGCAAATTTATTTGTACAACTCCTTTTATTCATTATGCGCAGTTTCCGTGTAATATATGCTTGGCTTCATATTTTCCATGGGAGGAAGTATGCTTGCATGCTCTTGTAGGTTACTGAAAGCTATTTGAAACTTTTTCCAATGAGACAAACATATTTTTATGTCTTGATATTGGTTATTCTTGAACTTGTCTAAGTGGTGATCTGAGGTCAACGTAGAGGAAAGTTTTTAAATTAAAAATAAATAATATAAAACAGTTTCTTTAGTGGCTACTCAAAAACATGGTTACACCAGTTGCCTATATGGCTTAAAAAAATTTGTTATTTAGTAAATAAATCACTTATATATCTAGGTCACCTAATAATTCTGCAAAAAATTAGCATTGGTGTAATGATATTTTTATCAAGACTATATAAAACTATTCTTTTGAAGATATCTAGTTTTTTAAAAGATGTTGATGTCATGTAATTAAAATGGTTTACAAAGATATGAGCTGTAGTGTAACAAATATCTGGGGGGGACATTAAGAAGTTTATTTCTTAGATGTGCAGTCAAATAGAATTTTTAATAACTTGTATTACACTTCCATGCTCCAAGTAATGAATGTAAACAGAAAGTTGTCATGCTAAATACACAAACATATACATTGTTCATCTATTTATGAATGTGTGTGTATATATGACTTAGTACTAACCTTTGAACCAGCAAGGCTAGACCTTGAATTCACCCTGAGTGATTCTGACATGGGGGATATTACATATTATGGGAATATGCATTATGTGTGAAAGGCCCTTCGATGCTAGTGACCATATGGTCCCGAGTTCAATACCTTGTGGGAGTAACAGTGGAGAGAGAAGCAGCGTGGAAAGGATGTGAGGAACCAAACTTCTAAAAAAGGGGACCACACAGGCATGAGGCAGTATCTGAATGAAGTGCAGTGGAAAAAGAGAACTAGAAGGGGAAGGATGAATGAAAATGGGGGATGAAACCAAAAATGCAGGGGAGGAAAGGGGGAAAATTTTTTGACCTAGGAGCAAAAGAAAAATGGGAAAACAGAGTGACCCCCTGGGTTCCCAAAGAGGTGCAGAGAGGTCAAATCTAATTTGTGCAAAACTAAAAAAATTAGAAGGCAAAGAGTTTGGGATAACAAAAAATTTAAAGCTAAAGAGCCAGAAATGAATATGCAGGGGTAAAAAAGAGAGGCTAAATTTGAAAATTTTGAAAAAGGGACAAACCCATCAAAAGCCAGCTCTGACCCAAAGAATTTAAGAAACCCCCCATCAGGAGGAAGAAACAGAAAAAGGCCAAAGTAAACAGGCGGGGAAAAGGAAAAAAGGGTCCAAAAATGCCCCGGGAAAGTCTGTGGGGACCCTCAGAAAAAAAGTGGGAGAGTTTCTGCCCAAGGAGAGGAGACATAAAGAATACCGGCAAACAGAAGCAGTGTATTTACACGCAAGTTTGGGCCACAATAAAACGGGAAAGAGATAAAAGAACCCCTGTGTGAAAAAAATATTTCAAAGGCAGTGGGCCCTATGAATCTCTGTGGGGCCCCTGAAAAAATTGAGAAAAAGGTTTTTTCCTGGGGTGCCGCAGCTTCACTTTTCAACATTCGATCAACACGGAGGTAGCATAGAAACTAAAAATTTATCCCAATTTTTAAGAAAGGAGACAGATAGCTTTTAACCCTTTAAACTGTCGCAACCCCAAACCTGAGTGGGCCCTGGTTTTCGCAAAATTTAAAAAAAAAAAAATTTTTTTTTTCTTATAAATTAAAAGAGAATCTTTTTTCCCCATTTTAATGACACCAAAAAAAAAGAAAATTTATGGAAAGGGTGACCCAAAATTTTGCTCTTTCGAAATTGCGACCTCGGCAAAATTTAAAAAATCGGCGATTTCCCCCCACTTTTAGGGCCCCATTTTCGGCAATTCCATTGTTTCCCGTCGACCCAAAAAAAAAAAAAAAAAAAAAAAAAAAAAAAAAAAAAAACCAAAAAAAAAAAAATATATAAATTTTTTAAAACCTAAATTTTTTACAAAAGAAAAAGAACTTCCCATTTAAAAACCAATTTTTTTAACTACCCTAAGGGCGGGAAATTTTTGCCAATTTTTAATTTTAAAAATTAAAAAAAATATTAATTTCAAAAAAAAAAGGCAAATGCCCCAATGGAATTTGATTAAAAAAATCAAATTTTTTTGACTCATTTTGGTCTGTTTACCTTTTTCTAAAATTTTGTTTTTTAAATTTTCCCAAAAAAAAAATTCCCCAAATTTGAGCTTTCCAATTTTTGGGGTTTTTTTATAAAAAAACCAAAACCCATTCCATTTTATTTTAAAATCAATTTGGGCCCAAAAAAATGAAATTTTTCAACGGGAAAAAAAACAAAACCCCCAAACCCCCAGGTTTTTTTTAAAAAAACAAAAAACCCCATTATTAATTTTTTTAAAACCAAAAAAAGGTCCCCCGGAAACGGGGTTTTTAAAAAAAATCTTTTTTTTTTTCTCAAATGCACTGCGTGCTCCATGAATTTTTTTTTTAAAGGTTCACAAGACCACAAAACAAACCCTTCTCCACAAAGTGGGGCCCAAACCCCTTTCTCCGCTTTATTTGAAGCGCTAAATTTAGAAATATATAACTTCAAACACTTACCTCGTAAAAACCCTAGATACGGCCCCGCACAGTCAAAGGGTTAAAAATACAGACCCCGTAATTATG